GACCGACAAGCTCGAAATAAAATTTATTTAACGCTTTCATTTTATATTGCATATAACAATAATATCGTTAACGATAATATCACGGACAATAATATAAATGTACATTGAAAATATTATTTAAAATCCATCTTAGACCGTTAAGGTTTTTATTACTCCTAATAGAAATTAGATTTATCTGTCTCTCTCTATAATAATAGGAACGTAAAATAGGTTTTTAGTCTTAAATATAAAAAGAAATATATTACGAGAGCAAAATCGGTATTTGATGTATTTATTTCCGTTCAACGCGAAGCATAAGGGAGAGAAAAAGAGAAAGCATGTGTCTATGTATCTTTTTTTTTATCCCTGACCTTTGACACGTTTGTATGCACGCGCTATAAAACATCGACGGCTGAATGTTACGAGGGAAAAATGCGAACGGTGTAACTGTAAGTTACGGCGCGCCGGCCTTTGACAACTGACGTTTACGTCTGGTTAAACTGTCGCGTTTTTCCGTCATTTTCGTGCCTTCGGATGCAACACGTTACTGCAGGATAGACATTCTGTACGTTACTGTTTTCCTTAATGTGACTACTTCATAAACTCTGCTCATATATAAGTATCAAAGCTTTATAAACATTTCTATAAACAAGTTTTTATCAGACATCTCAACATTTTTTTCTTTTTGTCTATTCGAATTCTAAATTTAGACTCCTAATTCTGTAACTTTTAACGACAATAACGTTATCGTTCTTGTCATTAAGAGTTACAGAATAGGAAGCTTAAACGATATTCTTCAATGTCTTAGAAAGATATTAAAAATAATTATTTGGCATAATAAAATGGAGAGATACACGGAAAAAATGATTTCATTGATATATGTAAAAATTTTGATATTTTAGCAACCAGTTTTTGAATGTCCTGTATACATAATTATTTTGATAATCTAACAAAATTATTTCGAAATCAGTATCTAGCTATAATAAATTTTTAGATTCTCCAGGAAAAACCATGCCAAAACTTCAATCATGCTAATCATGCTGTTAATTTGCAATAAGATAAACTTGGGGTAGAATGGCCATAGGTTTTCGGAATGCCTACAAAATTGCTCTATTTAACAATTATTGGAGATTACAGCCTATAAAACCATCTTTTCCGTATGGCCATAATACCCGAGTTTATCCCACAACGTACATCTTATAGGAAGTCATCTCTTTCCTTTTCTTTCCTAAGCAAGTCTTGTGTACGTTTGCTGGATATAGCAAGAACTGCGTGTATTGTAATTGGTGAATGTATCGAATGATGCAAGTGCATCGCGTGAAACGACAAACGTGCGTGAGAACAGCTCAAATTAGCAAGTGCGATATATCGCATTTGCCAAACAGGCTTTCATTCACCATTGTTAGATGGAAAGAGAGTAAAGCGCGACCGATTTCATCCTCCCTTCCCACTGACTCCCTCTCCCTCGGTAGCGTTGTCCGATAATGAGACTCGCGTAACGAGTCGACAGCGGAAGGAAACTGCACGATGCCGCAATTGCGGACGACGTCCGCATTTAACTCGGCAATATGATTCGATTAACGACCATCCGTGTCGTCGCCGTCGAATAACGCTGTTCTTTTCCGCGTTCGTCGCGAGTGCGAGATGTTAATTGATCTCGGTAATCCAGATACCGCGACACACGCGGAGGAGTCTTATCAATGAATCTTAACAATGAATTACGTCATCAATTGTACAATCTGGTTGTTTCTCTTCGCGATTTCTTTCGGCTACAGATTGTCCTCTCTTTTTTTCATCTATTCGGGATTTCCCGATTGATTTTTCCTAACGGAAACATCGGGAGACGAATAGTCCCCGGATTAGAAGCGATTGAAAGTGAAGGATTTTCGAAAGATTAAACTCCCGAGGTGCAAACGGATAATAAAGGCCTTCATTTATTATAATTTCAAGCGCGAACTTTACTTTGGCAGAATTTTACTTTGCGGCGTGCTTATCGAGACAATTAATAATTGAGATTGGGGAGAGATAGTGAAGAAGAATCTGAGATAAGGACGACGTGATCGATGCAACACGTTTCCTCCATACATTTAGAAATAAAATGTTACAATTTTATGAAATTTTGTTAGTTATTTGAAAATATCAAGACACACATATTTCACTTAGGCTGGGAAATTTGTGTTTTTTTTTTTTAATGAAAAATGTTAGAGGTGCATTACTAAAATACTTATACTAATTGAAGGTTAGATTAAAATTTCATACGGTACTGTATCGAAAAAAAATTTATTAAGTCTGAATACATATTTCTTTAAATAGTACTAAGTAAACGTTTATTTACAGTAAATAAATATCTACTCGATAAAAAAATGATAAAGTTAAATAAAATTAATGATTTTTGTATCAAATAAATATATGTTTACATTTAATATCTAAATATTTACTTAAAACTATTTAAACAAATATGGATCAAAATTTAGTTTTTTTTTTTCCAGTGTGAAAATAAATACATACACACACTGAATCTTTATTATTTTAACAAGTTAGCATTTTTAAATTATTTAAAGCAACTTATTATGTAATGGACTCTTTGTATTAAGGAATCTATTAGGATAGACGAAAAAAATCCGGGTCAGCATCTCTCGATCAAGTGGCTGCATTTAGCGTCTAAACGAGTGTAACTTTATATTTTACCGTAAAATTTTCATCCCTCGATAAATATATTTCTCGGTCGATCGTAGACTCGCGTTCGTGAAAATCTGCGAGGGGGAGTCTAATCGACGGGAAACGAATAACCCCTTGATCCGGCGGCGTTTCACGTAAGATTACCAAACCGGCGATTACCGGCGTGATCGATCGTTCATTATCTTCCACAATTAATCGCGCTTCCCCGTCCGAGTCCAAAGGGCGTCGAATGTTCAACGCGCGGCGCAGTCGATCCTGATGCAAAAAAGTAACCTTGCTCGCGGTTTGCCAACGTCGGGAAGTTGTTGATTAACGCTGTTGATAATGAGTCCGAGCTTCAATTCCGCGACGCTTTTACGAATAGGTCATCGAGCTGCTCATGCAGAGAAGAATTCTACCTTTCGGGACTGGCAAATTTTTGAGTACTCAGACACGCTGAAAGAAAGAGTCTGGTAATAGCTAGCAAATGTTCAGCGAAATAATTTCAATCAAACGCTTACTTGATTAATAGTAAAAAATAATTTAATTTTTCTAAATATTTAATTATTGTTACTAAATGGTTAGTTATGCTATTATTTGATAATACTTAGATACTAAATATTTAGAAAAGTAAAATTATTTTTGGTTATATTAACTCCGAAAATTTAGTTGAAATTATTTTATTCAATATTTAGTCGGGCAAATATTGCTGTAAAAAGTTTTGACATTTTAGCAACTAGTTTCAACATCCTGCATATAATTATATTGACAATCTAACAATAACAAAATTATTATTTATATGTATTTAACTGAATTTTAGATATTTTAGCAAAACCGTTCTTTCCGTTATTATGACGAAAAATTTATACCTATTTCTCATTATGTTTGTGTCGTTCGCTATTCTTATTACTAAGTTCAAACCGGGAAGTATTCCAGATTTTATTACTGAACTTATATTTTGGAATATTCTTATAATACTTTATTATAATTTACGTAATCAAAAGATATCGTCGTTACGGAAAACTAAACTTCCGGATATCACGCAGTATACGTAATACACGTATACATACGTAGGATCTACCTCTGGATTTTTCGCGAGATAAAAGAAAAGTAAGGCACGTAACGTTTCTACGAGCAAAAATCTCATAGATCGCATTATCTCAGCGTTTAAGCGCTACAAATAAGCTTCGTTCTTTTTACCGGACGGTAACTTCATTCGCGATGCAGTATCTTTTGTAGTATCTCAAACCGTTCTATTTGTCGTCGCAGTCAGCCTGTTTCGCGAGGTGCGACTGAGACTTCTATCCCGCAGATCGTGAGAACGGAGTCTGAAATGTTTCGCGCGCGCGTTTCAGCCGGCTGACGATCACAGCTCTCGAAACTACCGCTATTGATCGTCGCTCCAAAATACTCTTTCGTCGTGAATCATTGAACACCGCTGTGATCGACGTGTCTTTCTCTCTTTCTTTCTCCTTCTCTCGCTTTTTCCTTCACGATGCGT